CCTCCTTATTCAGTGTGCAATATAGTTTTCATGTAAAACAAAAACACAAACCAATAAGAAAAGTAGCTTTTTACATAGCATTAAAATAATAATAATTAGTGACAAAAAAAACAAACAAAAAGTGACTAAATATCCATGCTGAAAAGTTGCAGTTTACTGGTTTTACTCTTAACTATCTGAGCGTTCCCTCTTTGTGGCTGTTTCCAAGTTTCCTACAACTCTCTCACCCACGGTGTCCCACAAGGTTCTGTGTTGGGACCACTTCTGTTTTTGTAGCCTCTTATGATTGTTATCTTGAACGGCTGTTCTGTTTGTCGCTTGTAGTTTGTTTACATATTTAAATGACCTACTTGCTATTAAGATGACCCAGTGGCAATTACATACATGTAACGCTTTCAGTTAGTTTTGTGGAAATTAACATTTTTTAAAATCACATTTCAATAATAAAATTGTCAATCAGCACAGAATACCATTAGTTAAGAGGGGAAAAATAATTTCATGTAAGATGTGAAAAAGCATTTAGATTCTTTATAAGCTGAAAGCACCATAATTAAAATTAGTTGGTTAATTTTAGCTACTCAAAATTTTATTGTCGTGTCGTACTTAATATTTTCACGTAGCGACTTCCCAATGGACCATCCTCCATCTTGGACGATGGTGAGATCGACCGGCAAAGAGAGGGCGAGATCGAGCGACAGAGGTCAGAGCTGGGGCAGCTCAAAGAGAGACTGGCACTCATGTGCAGACAGGTACTTCACCCAAAGCCAGCTTGATTTCTTTTAACAAGACTAAGAATCAACAAGCTGAAAATGATCAGAATCTTTTGTCCTTTGAACTCACTTCCTGTCAGGTTGGTGAGATTGAGGAGCAGCTTACATCTGCCAGAAGGGAGCTGGCGCGCTCTGAAGAAGCCAACCAGAAACTGCAGCGGGATTTAAAAGAGGTGAGAGCAGCTGAGCCACTGACGGACATCAAACTGCTGCTGCGTGTGTCTGCGACAGCCGCACAACAAGCTGGTTTTGTTCTACACAGAAACGGTTTAACAGTTTGCTATGGTAACAACGCGTTTGGCCGCTTGGCAGCAGCAGCTGCTGGTGTACACTAGAGGGCCTCTGCCCCATAGCCATGGCGACAGCCATCAGAAGAGCTGCAGGCGTTTCTCTCATGGATGTGACACTGTTAATCAGTCAGTGTGCTGGCAGCTGCTTAAAAGGTGCAGAGTGTTGTGGGACAAGATGCAGTCGAGCTAGTTTCCCCCAGCACGTCTTTCTGACAGCTTCCCCTCACTTCCTGCATTTTTACTCCACCCCACCCCATCAGCTACACGAGAGGGGCAAATCTGTCAACAGCAACTTTAACCAGTAATTTTCATTCTTCAGCTAATAACAGCTGAAAGTCTGATTATTCCCTCCTAGCAACTGATTTTATAAGCTTAACATTAGACGATTGTCTTTCTTTTTCTGCCTCGTGGCTTTAACGTTTAACCTTTTATCTTTTTAATCTTCTCAGGCGTTATGTCAAAGAGAAGACATGGAGGAGAGAATTACCACGTTAGAGCGCAGGTCTGTGTTTTTACTCTTTGTGATTTCCTCTAAAAGGTTCCCCTCTCACTGATTCGTTTGTTTTGTTCTGCTGTGCAGGTACCTGAGTGCCCAGAGGGAGGCAACGTCTCTCCATGACATTAAAGACAAACTGGAAAACGAGCTGGCCAGCAAAGAGTCCCTCCACAGACAGGTGGGAGAAAGTCTCTTCACCCCTGCGTGTGTCCACGTTTCTGCTGCTGATTGGCAGCTTGGCTGCGTATCACTTTGGCACACAGAGCTTGCCTTTGAGGCTTTTACCTTCCCCCATCAGTGGCTTTAATCACGTCTGCTGCCCTGGGCAATCTTTGCTCCGAGTTTCACTTTTTCTCCCTGTCATCCGGTCTCCCTGCAGAGCGAGGAGAAAAACCGGCAGCTCCAGGAGCGCCTGGATGATGCCAAACAGAAGCTGCAGCAAACCCTGCAGAGGGCTGAGACTCTGCCTGAGATCGAAGCTCAGCTCGCCCAGAGGGTGGCGGCGCTCAACAAGGTATGAATCCTCCTCCAGACCTCACCACCTCTCAGAGCCAAAACACACACATGCACAAACTCTGCAAATGTGTCGGCGGGAGCAAACATGAACGTGTGTGTGTGTGTGTGTGTGTCTGTGTGATTTCATGCAACACGAGATGTCAAATGACAGATGCATAGCAAATACTTTATGAAGCTGAAGCCAGAAATTTGAGCCACTTAGACTGAAAACCATGTGAGGGTGCAGAGTCAGCACAACTTTTTGCTTCACGGGAGCAAACACGTCAGGAGCTGCACTCCACACAAACTCCCCATTTAATTGTTAACAATTCCTGTAAACACAATTTTGTCTCATGCCAAAAATGTGCACTGTACTCCCTCGCTTCTCACTATTCAAACCTCTCAAATGGCCCTGGGTTTCGTCTTACGTGTCCGGGCAGGATGGCTTTCGTGGCAGGATCACATTAATGCCTCGTAAGAAGCGAGCAAACAAACCTTCCTGTTGCTCTGTCATCTGCACAGGCATGTAACTAATTACTAGACTTGGTCAACAAGATCCGTCCTTTGTGTTAATTTGTATAAGTGTTGCAACACGGCTCTTCTTCCCAGCCTGCTTCCTCTCCTATCATTCAGGCGGAGGAACGTCATGGCAACTTTGAGGAGCGGCTGCGGCAGATGGAGGCACAACTGGAGGAGAAGAACCAGGAGCTACAGAGAGTGAGTCACGATGGCCCTTTTTTCTTTTTTGGTTTTCATCCACCCCCTCGTTCAAGCCGTGCTTTTTGTCAAGCTTTACGCATCACAAAAGTGCTCTAATTTTCTAAATCCTCTATTTGACTGTGCACATTCATGCAGGAATCTGTGTTCTGAAGTCTCAGTGGGCCGAATTCTCCTCCCACCCACCCATCTCTCCCTCCTGTTGCTGACTTTTTAAAATCTTTCTTTCTAAATCATCTTCCTGCCTCCCCCTCAGGCACGGCAGAGGGAAAGGATGAATGATGAACACAACAAACGCCTCTCCGACACCGTGGACAAACTGCTGTCCGAGTCCAACGAGAGGCTGCAGCTTCACCTGAAGGAGAGGATGGCTGCCCTGGAGGAAAAGGTGACCTGCTGAGACCAAAGAAATAACCACCCTTGAGTATTAATCCAAAGACACAAAAACAGAAACAAATGGAGTCAAGTGGTCCTTTCAAAAGATCACTTTGAACTGGAGTTGATCTCCTTACAGAAAGGAATCCTTTTGGTCCTATTTGCATTTTCAAGCTTCTTGTTTATGTTTTATAAATTTAGAGATTTTCAAATCAGAGGCTCAAAAATCCTCCCTACAACAAATGTCCTGAAAGGTTGTTCTGACTCTCAATGTCGCAACATGAGCAAGTTAAAATATAATCAGCTGTTATTGGTGTGATTTTGAAAAGACAACTTTTAAAAACATAAGAGAGAAGTTTTGAAAATAAGCTCCAACCTTTTATTCCCTTCTCATTTCCCTTCAGATGGTCGCTACAGCGAATCATCTGTCTCCATTAAGTCCGAAATAAAAACAAATGTTCAACTAAATCCATGACTTACATTTTTTAAACACAGTAAAAATTCTGATTTGATTTTTCAACCCCCCTACCTTTGAAGAAAGTTTCAATAATCTTAATTGGTGTGATGTCAAGAAATGGTCACAAAAGGTACAAACATGGACGTAATTTTCACTTTAGAAGTGGGGGGGCTGGGCACGGGGTGGGGGGTGGGGGGTATCTTTACAGTATGCTCTAATGGGAAACAGGCTTCAACACAAACAGTTGTTTTCCGCTTGGTCCTAGAGCTCAACCAGTGTCAATTTAATATAGCGTAATATTGTTTTTGGATGGTAAAAAGTGCAGGGGTCAAAACTTGACTTCGGAAAAAGTGGTGGTGGTGGTGGTGGGGGGGGGGGGGCATGTCCCCCCTCCCCCCAAAATTATGTCCATGGGTACAAAGAATGATTTTGCTGTTCTTTTTGTTGCCAGAATGCTCTATCTGAGGAATTGTCCAACATGAAAAAACTCCAGGATGATCTGTTGGCAAACAAGGTAAAGATGCGGGACTCGTTCTTAGCCGAGCCCAGCAGACCTCCTTTCTACATTCCCACCATGTCCTTCTCTTTTTCCCTCCAGGACCAGCTGATCGCAGAGCTGGAGCGGCTTCAGCTGGAGGTGGATCAGCTGAGAGCTCGGCCCAGTGGCTCTTATTCCAGGTCAGTGCTACAGAAAACCGCCGCCTTTATTTTGAAACTCCTGCACAGCCTTACTGTAAACACACAAACGTTGCGTTTCTACTTTTGCGTATAAATCACTCCACACTGGAAGAGTTTACACTGTCAGAGCTCACATTACCTGTGATGATGAATGCTACACGCTCACTGCACAAACACTCCAATTATCTGGCATTAACTATCACTTCTTCAGCGTCTGTCATGCCCTGCTGTAGATCTGTTGACAGAAATATGAAATAATGTTTACGAGGGTCTTTAACTTCTCTTAAATGTTTTTCATTTTATTCTGTGGTCCGTTTTATCTTCTTTTTTTGTTTTGTTTCAAATATCTTGTAGGACTTTTTCAGCATTCCTCAACTTGCTTTCCACATGTTTGTTTTGTTTGTGTCTTCACTGACAACAGCCTCATTCACCACATGGACAATGATCATTTTAGCTTATCGGGAACTATCTTTACTTTTATCGCTGCAGTCGCTCACTGCCAGGCAGTGCCCTGGAGCTGAGGTATTCCCATGGAGGCGGGTCTCTCCCAGCGGGCTCCACCGCTCACCTGGATCCCTTTGGCAATGCCTCTGCCGGGGGCGTGGTCAGGCGAAGCCACCGGGCCCGCTGGAGCACCGCACACGAGGACCCAAGCAAGGTAGCATACCCTGGCAATGGATCCAGATTGGTTTTATAACATTTTCAAATATTTAGAATCAAACGTTACAACACAAGGGCAAAAATCAAGTTTCAAACTTATAATAATGTATTTTTTTATTTGAATAAATAAATAAATAAATAAATAAATAAATAAATAAAATGCTAAAAAAATAAATTATTGTTTAGAAAGTCCTAAAATAGTAATATGTATAAATCTGAACACATGAATGTTAAAAACTGTACACACTGCATCGACAGTCTGTTGGAGTGACAAAATTTTACCATTCTAGAAATGCTTGAGGCGGCCGCACAAAGTCCGTCTGAGAGCTGCAAACTTTGAACACGCCTGATTTAGATCCTTTAGCTGAACAATAAAGCTGCTTTATTAAACAGTAGTGCACTTCTTCCTTATTTTGTCATTTACTTCATGAATTTTCTCTCAGTAGAGGTTACTAGTCAGTGATTTTATTTGAAAATTGCTGTAATTATTAAACTAAATTAGAATTTGGATGAAAAGAAATTAGATATTCTGTGTCAATTTGGTTGAAAAACTTTTTTTTGCATTTTGAATCATGCGTTTGAATAATGCAGAATTTTTTTAGAAAGGAAAACAGAAAATAACATAAAACATATGAGTCCTTTGATTTGTTACTTCACGTCTCTGTTTGGTTGAACAGAGTGAAAGTATTCAAATGACAAAAATTCCAAGTATTACAGTACATGTTCTGCTTCTATCTCTGTGTGCAGTACCCAGACTGGGAGAGCGGGGCTCTGCTGGCAACCGGGTACGAGCCGGCCATGGATGTGGGGTGCTCCGACGATGAGGATGATGGAGAACCTCGTTTTAGCTCCGAGCTTTTGTCCCCCAGCGGACAGACAGACGTACAGACCTTGGCCATCATGCTGCAGGAACAGCTGGAGGCCATCAATAAGGAGATCAAGTAAGTAATCAGGGTGGGGGTCCTGGGAGGTGGTGTGGTGAGAAACACCTCCCTACATGCAACATCCTGATACACACCATCACCAACTGCAGGCTGAGATAGTTGACATGTCTGCAGCTCTGAAAATCTCTGAGAGCACAGTGATCATGTCTTTATCATACTACAGAAACCATAACCCACCAAATAGTTCCCGAGCGCGGCCGTGTCTGCCGCACACCGCCACGGGGATGGGTCAAATGCGGAAGACAATTTTCACCACACCAGTGTGGACTATAGGACTTTAATCTTTAAATATAAGCCAGAAAGCTGTCTTTGTAAAAAAAAAAAAAAAAAAAAAAAAATGTTAATTGTGTGATTGGGTCATAAAGATTATTAGATGAAAGTTGTGTGGTTGTTTATAATGTTTGTCATGTGACAATAAGCTAAAATAGTTGAAAAATACAGATATGAGGAGAGAACAAGCAACTAATAAAATTAGCTTAGCTTAAAACATAACTTCCTGTAAGTTTTTGACTGAAGAAAATTATAAATGTATTTTTCCTGTTCAAAATAAACACAAAATACAGGAATAAAAGTTAATAGCTGTGTGTGTGAACTCTTTCCTCTTGTTTGAAACAAGCTAAGCTGCTATGCTAACTGCGTTTAAATGCATTCATGAGTTGAATCAATGTTCTCCTTAAAGCTGTTATATAGGGAGTCCAAGTCTTCTCCCTTTCTGGTTGGCTCATGGGTCCCCAGAAGATTGGAAAAATGAATGCAAGTGAGCTATTTTCTAATCCGTTTTGCCTTACGCCCTGGATCACACACGCACTATAATTTAAATGACAATGATGTGTGCTTTGATCACGCCAACCATGTTGGTATTTATCAGCTTGTAAAAATTCATAATTAGCATGACTACAAATCAGACATCGACGCGTCGCATGGCGTCATCACATAATCTCCTCTAGTGTGGCTGCTGCTTACCACATGGCCAGGTTTATGGTGGATTTTCCTCCTGAAGGAAGGATTGAAAGCCCGTAAACTTGCAGCCATTTCTCCTCTGCTTTTTTCTGTGTCATGTCCATTGATGTTAATTTAGTGACGTATTTTCACAAAAAACCTAAAATAACTTTTGTCCCCATTCGATCACAAGCACCTTCTTGGCATCAGAATGCTCCTTTCAAATTCACGGGCATTATATGTGAAACCCATGGCACATAACAAACGGGATCAAAAATAGCCTTTGTAGCCCCAGTGACATGCATTCCTTTTGTCGCTCTTTCGGGGGACCCGTGGTTCCAAATGGGCGTGGCTTAGGCTCCCTATAGAAATTCTGCAAACACACTCACCCCTCCCCTCGGGTATCCTCCAGGGATCTGCATCCACCGGAATCGGAAACCCACATTGCCAGACAAAACGAGATAGAACAAAACACCAGTCGCCGTTTTCTAGGTCCAAACGTCTTTTGTTGTCCGTGACTTCAAATGGTGTTTCTCTTTTTGGGACTCTGGTAGCTTGCACTGGAGTTGAAGTGGTAGCAGCCGGCTGTTTCTCCTCCTCTGGTATTACTGAGCAGGGAATCTCTCACGCCAGTGGTGTTCTGTTGCTAAATATGTGAGGGAGTAATGACTGGAGGACCCGGGAAAGTGCGGCGGTTCTGCCAGACCAACAACCAGATGGTCCAATTGTTGTTTTCAGCCCCAAAAGTGTTATTGGTGGAGGTTTTTAGACAAATACGAGAGAAATGTATTAATTGATCTTTTCGGGGTTTTTTTTTTCCCTTCACAACATATTTATGGTCATGTTAGAACATTGTTAAGACGTGTGAACAAAAAGTAAATTTGTTTTCCAAATTTGCTATTGCAGCTTTGAGAACACGAGCAAATACAGTTCCAAAAATGTTAAACTTGAAGCTGGTTTTATATAACTTTTTTCCTTTTCCTTCTTCTCCAAACTTCAACCAGGCTAATCCAGGAGGAAAAGGAGAACACAGAGTTGCGTGCTGAGGAGATTGAGAGTCGGGTTAGTGTGGCGTTAGACAGCCCACCAATTCCTCCCTCCTCTCTGGGCAGAGACAGTACAGGACGGGGCTTCATCCCATCGTCCATCACCTCCTCCACCTTGGCCTCCCCGTCTCCACCTAGTTCTGGACATTCCACTCCTCGCCTGCCTCACTCCCCGGCTCGTGAATCTGATCGACAGGTACCGCTGGAATGTAGAGCTCAGCTCCTGTTCAGTTTCTGTGTAATATTTTTACTTCTTCACTCTGAAACTAACTCCTTTTAACTTCTCCAGAAAGTGAGTCATGTGATTAACGCACTTGTTAGAGGTTTAACAGGTTCCTACGAAGAAGTGGAAAAGTCAAGTAAGTTGTGGGAGTGTTCAGAAACGTGCAAGCTACAAAAAACAAACAGTGCAAATAAACATAAACTACTTTTTCAAGTTCTGAACAGATTGGTGAAGGTTTTGCTTTGTTTGAAAAATGTAAGTAAAAAAGAAAAAGGTTTTGACCACAAATGGGGTAGATCAGACAAAAGCCCAAGACTGACTTTCTTAAAACTTTGATTAAAAAGCAAAGTTTCAGGAAAACTGCATTTAGAAGAACAACAGAAACAAATCATGGAGGAACACAACAGAGACTCTACGGAAGCCTGGAGCTGCCACCCAGGGAAAATCAAATCAGAGCTACATCATGTTCTTCCATTATAATATTTATATTGTTAGAACAATAAAGTTATCCTATTTTATTTTACCTGCGTGGCAGCTCTACGTTGCCATAGAAACACATTACCTAAGCCAAACCTTTAAAACAGGTATTATTTCCTGTTCTGTGCGCAACGTCAATACTTTACAATCATCCTTTACTGAAAATGATTGTTTTTATTAAAACTGTTTCCATTTGGCATTTCAGAACAACAAGGAGGATGATCGATCCCTCGCTCTTCTAGACTCTACTCCTCCTCCGACTCCCCGTGCGCTGCGGCTAGACAGGATGGCCCTCACCCATCCGGGGGCGATGCTTGATGACCCCCGAGAGTTTCGCAGGTGAGTCTTCCGCACGAAGGACATTTTAAGTTGAATCAGTTTTGTTTTTAAGCTCACTGATCGATTTTGAATGTTCTAGCCTTTCTGCCGATGGAAGCAGCTCCAACAGCAGCCAGGATTCTCTCCACAAGTCCAGCAAGAAGAAAAGCATCAAGTCTTCCATTGGTCGGCTTTTTGGAAAGAAGGAAAAGGGAAGATTGGGCCAACCAGGGCGCGATGGATCTGCTTCTCTGGGTAAACAGATGAAGCATCAGAGTGAAAAACAGCAAGTTTGAGATCCTCTAGTGTTGTAATTGTAATGTACCACCAGCTCGGTGGCTTAGTGTGGTGTTCGCCCTGGGACTGGGAGATCGGAGTTCATATCCAGGTTGGGTCATACCGTGGGCTTAACAAAAGTGGGACCCAGTGCCTCCCTGCTTGACACTCAGCTTCAAGGGGTTGTTTTGGGGGTTAAGCCACCAAATAGTTCCTGAGCGCGGCCACAGCTGCAACTCACCGCTCCCCATGGGAATGGGTCAAAAGTGGAGGACAGTTTTCACCACACCAGTGTGTGTGACGACTATGGGACTTTAATTCTAAGGTTTTCTGTGTCTCTCAGCATCCACACCCTCTGAGGACCTCAGCTCGGGAGACACCATGGGAATAAACAAGACAGGGACTCTTGGTTCGGCAGATAAGGATCGTCGCAGCAAAAAGAAGTTAGTGAATACATTCTGCTTTATGTGCTGATCATGATGCTTTTACATTTTACCAAATGGCACGCCCTCCTCTTGTCAGGCATGAGCTGCTGGAAGAAGCTTGTCGTCAAGGACTTCCATTTGCGTCCTGGGATGGACCTACAGTTGTGTCTTGGCTGGAGGTTGGTGACACTAAAGATTCAACAAACAGTTACAACAAATTTATCCTATGATGATTTCATCTCACTTCCTTCCAGCTGTGGGTGGGAATGCCCGCCTGGTATGTTGCAGCGTGTCGTGCTAATGTGAAAAGTGGAGCCATCATGGCAAACCTGTCCGACACTGAGATCCAGAGGGAGATCGGCATCAGTAACCCGCTGCATCGCCTCAAACTGCGGCTGGCCATCCAGGAGATGGTGTCCCTCACCAGCCCGTCTGCCCCAGCCAGCACTCGCTCTGTGAGACACACTTTACTCCTTCCTCCACATAAAAATCCAAGATCTGCACATAAGATGTAGCCTGGAGAGATTTACTGTAAACGTAAAGAAAACTTGAATTACTTTTACATCTGGGTGGTCCTTGCAGCTCTCTCAGTCTTTGACATTTACAGCTCAATGAGGCCGTTGGGGGCGGGTGATGTCATTCGTCCCGAATGATCTGATCACAGAGCGACAGCCCTAAATGCGTTTTTGCGCTCGGTGCTAAAATGCGTTCCCACATTTTTGGTTTCCTGCACTCTGTGCAAATAAACAAGCAGACGTCCTCGCTCATTCAGCTGTTGGAGCATCTCAGCAGGTCATAAACAGTCACTGACTTTAAATATCGTTTTGATGAAACCGTGACGTGTTTCACTCGGGTCGTGTCCTGGTCCACCTCTGAATGTGGCTGTGGATTTGTTCGACCCGAGTGGTTTACACCTGTATTTAGCTCTGTCCACCTGTGATCAGATGGCCCAGGACACATGTTAGCACCAGGTCTGAGCAGCCTCAGGGTATGCCCACAAAAAGGGTCAGAAAGTGTTTTGTTTCTGCTTCTGGCACACCTCGTACTGGAGGTCGGGGAGGTCCCAGAACAAAGCCTATGTGCTACATATGACTTCCTGCCAACATCAGAAAGGACACCGTGTTCCTGGCTAAATTGCATTTCTTTTTAACCTCCGACCCTTTTCTTTAATTGAAAGTGAAGGTAGTTGACAGCTGACTGCTGAGGAATTAGAAACGAAAGCCAGATTGTAGTTTGTCTTGGCGTTTCTCCTTCTGAACCTGTACTTATTTACATTGGAGGTCGTATCAGCAGTGTGGTGAAATGTGGGATAGGACCAAACCGCCAATTCAAATCAACAGCTGGAAATGATTTATCTATTCACATAATTGTGCCTTTCATTTAAATCACCATGGCAACATGAAAGCAGTGTGCGGCTGCTGTCAGACAACAGCCCTTTTGGTTTTTCGGTGCTGGTGGTTGAGACAGTCTTCGTTTCTCTGTTGTTTTTCTCCCTTACCTCTCACTCCTGTGTTTGGTGTGTCTCCACCATTGCAGTCCACCAGTAACGTGTGGATGACCCATGCTGAGATGGAGTCCCTGAATGCTGCCACTAAACCTCCGGTTAGTGCTCAGTCTCGTGGCTCACCTGTTTTTACGGTCATGATTGAAACACGGTTGAATGTCCTTGTCTGATCTGAATCATGTTGATGAGTCTCTCCCCTTCCTCCTCCTCTTTCTCTGTATTTATTTCTCTATCTGTCTCCTCTGTGGGCCCAGGCCATAGTGTTGAGCATAACCGTCTCTCCCTGTGGTTTCAGTGTGAACTGCTTCCAACTAATTACCAGTTCACTAACACACTGTTCCTCACTTTTGTCCTCTTTTCCTGCTGCTGCTGCTGCTGCTGTGATTTCTCCCTCCTTTTGCTGATCCTCACCCATCCACCCTGCTCTTGACTCCATGCTTCCTCTCATCCCTTCACTTCACTCCCTCTCTCTGCCTCGTCTTTTCTCCCTCTGTTCCAGGAGCTGAAAGAATTCAGCTGGGATCAGGTAAGGACCAACTTTTTTTTTAACCTTTGAAAAAATCAGAACCTAACACAGACACGCTGTCAGGTGCTTCATCTGCAGTGAAACTGAATGCAGTGAGTCATGAGCGCTCAGACATCCTGCCAAGCGTGAATCAGCCTCAGATCATCTGTGCTTGTCCCCCCTAGATACTGGCCTATGGTGATATGAATCATGAGTGGGTGGGCAACGACTGGCTGCCCAGCCTAGGCCTACCGCAGTATCGCAGCTATTTCATGGAGTCTCTCGTGGACGCTCGCATGCTGGACCACCTGACCAAGAAGGAGCTGAGAGGACAGCTCAAGATGGTGGACAGCTTCCACAGGTAGAGCCTGATCCCACACCAAAGTTTCAAGTGGTCTAGACTGATGTTTCGTCAGACCTTTTAGCGTGTTTTATGTTTGAGCTTTAGTAGATTTTCACCTATTTTCTGCCTAGTCCTGGTCCCTGACTACAACAGATTTTTTGCCAAAAATAATAAAAAGTGGACAAGTAAAGGTAAAAAAAAGGTCAATTGAAGTCACATAATTTAGAAACAGCAAAAAAAAAAAAAAAAAAAAAAAGGATTTGTTTCATCCTTTGGTTGATTGTTCAGTACAGACATGTCCAAAGTGCTGCCCTCAAGTGATTTTGTGTGGCCCCTTAATCTCAGTTCTACAGGTGAAACTAAACGAGAATATGATGCAAAACGTCCATAACTCCATTTAGACTGAGAGACCATCTAAAGGCTCGGGAACCCTTTGTGGGTGTTTTCGATATTGAACCTGTTCACAATATTTAAATTGTCTGAGATTTTGAATTTTGGGTTTTCATAAGCTGTAAGCCATAATCATCACAGTTATAACAAATAAAGGCTCAAAATAGCTGACTTTGTGGAATGAGTCTGTCTCATAGTAGTTTCACATTTTAGGTTGAATTATTGACATAAATTGGGCGACGGTGGCACAGGAGTTAAGTGCTCACCCCATAATCGGAAGGTTGCAGGTTCGAGCCCCGCTCAGTCTGTCGCTGTCCTTGGGCTACACTTAACCCACGGTGCCTGCTGCTGGTGGTGGTCGGAGGGACCGGTGGCGCCAGTGCTCGGCAGCCTCGCCTCTGTCAGTGCGCCCCAGGGCAGCTGTGGCTACATTGTAGCTCATCCCCACCAGTGTGTGAATGTGTGTGTGTGTGTGTGTGTGAATGGGTGAATGACTGATTGTGTTGTAAAGCGCCTTGGGGGGTTTCAGTACTCTAGAAGGCGCTATATCAAATACAGGCCATTTACCATTTAAATTAGGGCTGCACAATATATCGTAAATATATCGTTATCGCGATATCAGCATGCATAATATGCATATCGCAAAGAACTGATAAATATCGCAATACATGGTCGGCTAAAATATTTGCTAAACATAATGCATTCTGCCAATCAAACGGAAGTATTAGGATTTTTTAACTAATCAAATGGAGCTCTTCACCCATTTGGCCAATTGGGTGGGTTCTCATTGCGGACAGCACTTAATTTTGATGGTTAGCAAACACCTGAGTTAGCTTTGTTCTGCTTTTCCCGGGATCCACTGATTACCTTTTCTTGTTAATTTTCTTTTCCCCTTTAAGTTTTTATTTATCGCAAGTGATATCGTCATCGCAATATTAATCATTGTTATCGAATATCGCAGGTTTTCCTAATATCGTGCAGCCCTAATTTAAATCAACTTTTGCACCATATTCTAACTTTTCAAGTTTCAGCTGTAGAATAAATGAACTTTCATCAAGCTGTTAATGTAAATCAACCATTTTTAAGATTTTATGCTCAGTTTGGTTTATATGAGTTCAAAATAAAAAACAATAAAACAGGACGTCTATTTAAAAGTAGCCAGAAACAAGGACCAACGTTTAAAGCATGAAGACATGGGATGGCTGAAAACATTTGCAGTGCTTGAGGACTCTGTTCCTGCTCGGGTGTGGTGTGTAAATAAGAAGATGCTGCACGACTCTGTGGAGACACTGACCCCACAGAAAGTGTCGTCAGGTTTTATCTGGACTGTGCTGAAAGTCTCTAGTAGATCTGAGATGTTCTGATTACACATGAGGGTAAAAGCACATTCCTAGTTAACCTGCTCGGGCCTGTTTACACTCCGCTGCGCTGTTGATCTTCCACAGGGTCAGTTTGCATTATGGCATCATGTGCCTGAAGCGCCTGAATTATGACCGCAAGGAGCTGGAGAGGAGGAGAGAGGACAGCGTCCACCAAAATAAAGGTAACATCTTCCGGTCTGCTGTGGCCGTAGGACATTACCGTAGAGTTCACTACTTTGTGTAGCCTTGCATCTGTGTCCAGGTTGCTTAGTCACATCAACAGAGCTCATTTTTGAGCCAAATTTAAGTTTTTTTTTTCTCCAGAAACATTTTACAGACTGAAGCAATTAGGATCACCCTGAGGCGTTCAAAAGCAGAATCTGCAAAGCTGGAACATTTCTCCAGTTCACTTGATCTCTCTTCAAAATGTAACGACACGGATAATCCTTTCAGGATCAAATTAATAAGACTTAAGAGACTTTATTGTTTATTTAGCTTGAGCTCTGTTTTTACAAAAGCTTACATAAACAGTTGTTCTCCCTCCCTCTCTCCGTCTGTTCTGGGTTTTTTTTTCATCCAGATGTGATGGTGTGGTCCAATGAGCGCGTGATGTGCTGGGTGCAGACCATCGGCCTGAAGGAATACGCCGACAACCTCCGTGAGAGCGGCGTGCACGGGTCTCTGCTGGCTTTAGATGACACGTTTGACTACACCGACCTGGCCCTGCTGCTGCAGATCCCCAATCAGAACACACAGGTCACGATCCTCCGCTCATTATAGACAGCTGATTGTTACTTACTGTGCGTTTAAAAGCAGTTTAGCCTTTAAATCCTTTAATACTTTCTGCTTACGATGATGTGAGTATAATCAGGATTTTCACAAAAATGAAAAAATCTTGTCAAAATCATCAGAAGGATCCAAAAAAAATCTAATTAGAGATGAATAAATGAATAATTGTGGTACTTCAGTGATTTAAGTACATACCAGTACTTCTGAAACACACCGGGACTTTTTTCCAGCGTACCGTGCACACCGGTAGTTAATACGACCATTCATCAGCTGAAATTTCAGAAATTACTGGAAAGAAATGTGTCCATCTCCAGGTAAAGAGCAGTCGTCCATAGCGCCCCCCCCCCCCCCCCCCCCAACAGTGGGGGTCATGACCCCAGCTTTAGTGATGGTGCTGGATTAGTAAAACATTGAGAAGAATCCTCTGCAGAGTCCAAACTGATCTAAAAGGCTCTTTATCGCTTCTCTCCTGCAGGCCAGACAGCTCCTAGAGCAGGAGTACAACTCCCTGATCTCCATGGGAACTGAAAGACGACCCGATGAGGTCAGAGAGCTCATTTGAAAAAAAAAAAAAAAGGTTTGCCCATGCAACTATGCTTTGTTTCACACCTTTGCTGTCCTGTCTGTCAGGATGGGACTAAGACGTTCACCCGCTCGCCCTCCTGGAGGAAGATGTTTAGAGAGAAAGACCTCCGGGGTGTAACCTCTGACTCCGCCGAGACGCTGCCCGCTAACTTCCGTGCCTCAGCCATCTCCACGCCCTCGGTTACTCTGAGAAAGGTTCAGAGTGATGGTGAGCATGACCTATGACCTCTTGACACTTCAGCTCTTATATCCACACCTATTTCTTGTGAGGCCTTGAGACAGATTGATATTTTTGAACGCCACTACTTTCGTCAGCGTAGCTCCCACTCGACAGGAATGAGGCCCAGAGGTTAGCAGCATTCAGTAGCAGCTGGAAAGGCACCGCAGCCTCAGAACTGTTGGTACTTTTCATGCTACTCTGCTATTAGTTCGCCAGAAGAATTTGTTTTTTCCTTCAGAAGAGGAACTGTCAATAACAAGGTGCAGACTCCATAAAGTGCAGAGGAATGCTACGAGCCCTCGCTCCACTTCTTTAATACCTCCAGAAAGGTCAGCGCTGTTATGATAATAACCTCGTCTGTCTCCTAAGCAGCCAGCTCTGGTGCCCGGGGTGAATCTGCCTCAGTGAGGACGTACTCCTGTTGAGCGGCTGAGGTGAGAACCCGTCAATTAAACTGTTTAACAAGGTCTTGCCCGTGTGTGGCCATAACCTCTGTGCTGATAGCTTCCACATGTGTTGAGTATCATTCTTTGAACCTTTTTTTATGTATTTGTTTGTTGTTGTGGACTAGTTGGAGTCTGGAGTTTTAGTGGATTCCCTGAGGTCTTTAAGTTGAGGTGAACGAAGGCCACAGGCTCTCTGATGTGGCAGACATTTTGTTTCTCCCCTCAGGGTGCTGACTGGACTGGGTCGAGAGGAGGCTCTCACTCATCACCGAAGAAAGAAGCAAAGAGTGCAACACTTAAAAATATCCGTCTGACCATTCTGCAATAACAGTAGCAAAGGAATAAGGAGGAAAATGACATGAAGAATGTATAAATGTGTTCTCAGACTTTGGCGTTGGATTGGGATCTGCTGTTTCCTCTCTCCGTCTCTCTTCCTGCCCTTCAGAGCGTTCCTCTGTGAGGCGACTAAAGGACAGTGCCACTGTTGTTAGGTCAAGGCAGGGTTTCTGTTGGTGTCTGCACTCAGTCTGCAGCGTCGGCGGGATCGGGGTTCGTTTTTCCACCTTCAGAGGCCAACTTCTCGCGGCCATTTATCGTCTTACAGCTAGAAACAACCTAACGTGTCGCCTTACAAATTCTGCTTAACGATAGCTATGTTCCACAAAAGGCAGAAGTTAACCCCATTGTCAAAGTCTGCATTCAGAGGGTGTTAAGATTGTAAAGTGATTCTGGGAGACAGACAGACGTATTCGAAACAACATTGATGTTCTTCTCTGGGTCGGTGTCCGGTGTCCGGTCCTTTTGTCGGTCCCTGTCAGAGTTGTCCTGTGTCCCCACCAGGATCAGGTGGTGTAGCAAAGCATGTCCAAATTCAGACCACCATTTAGCTCCGACCACATCCGAGCTCTATTGTCTGTTGGCACCTTGAAAGCTGATAGGAATCTCTTTTGAAGGGGATCTGCTGTTGACATCAAAGGGTCGGAGCTGAATGGGGCAGGGTGCAGAGACGCCACGGAGGCTTTATGTCCACCAACTTCGTGATGTCAAAGGCAGGAAATCAATTAAGACGCCAATGGTCCCACTTTGTCAGAAACTGGCCTTTACAAAGTTTTTGGTTGCAAAAATCTTGTAGGCGTACAACTTGGGCATGTTCCAACATACGTCTCCTCAGTACAGCCTTGCTAGTTAGAATTGGCTAGAAAAGCCATTTTCCCTTCATCGGAGGCTAGAGACCCTTAAAATAAACACAGCAGGTAAGGTATCGCCGGAAATAAAACAATCTCATGTCATTTTATTGCTGCTAGGACAAAGAAAACCCTTATGAAAAGGTAAAAATCACATTTTTGTGTGTTAGCCGTCTGTGCTAATTTACTTCCTAATATCCTTAAAGAGCAAGTCACCCCCTACCAGAGTCTAACTCCACTCCCACTTCATGTTTGAAAAATGCAACACATGCTGTTGCCTGGCAGACCGAGAGGGCGGAGCCGCTAACAAATACACACACTCAGGCTCACGACAGCATTGTGACATCATAATGTACCAGTTTACATCATAGCATACTTCTTAGCCAATAGCGGTGGCAGATTTAAATTAGAATACAGTACAGAGTTTTTACCTGACAACGGCACAACACTGCCAGTTTTAGGCAGAATATTTAAATTTTAACTAAGATGCACTGAAGTGCCAAATTATTGACGACACGTGTCTGCAGCACGATTAGACACTCGTTTATTTAGTTTTATCAGCAAAAAAAAGTTTATTTGGGGGGTGACTTGCTCTTTAAAGTAAAATGAGCAGCTGACTTTGGAATTTCTAGTATTGCATTAATTGTTTAGACATGAAGAACTTTTCTGTTTGAACTTAAAACGTGAAATGTAATCACCTCCATGTTATTTTGGGTTAAACCCCGTTGTAGATCAGCTCTGACCTCCTTTACCAAAAACAAACATGAATATTTCTGAAATTCTGACTCCTAAATAATAACATACAGTTTGAATGACTTGATATATGTTAATAATGTCTTAATGATTAAAAAAAAACATTAAAGCCAACGTTTATCATGTAGAACAACTCATTTTGTCTTAAAGGTTTCTCCAAAATAAAATGTTTAATTTCACTTATTTGGTTTAAAATATAGTTTTGCCAAATATTTCAGAAAGCAATAATCCATCCAGTGTAGAAGCTTAGAAATGCGATTAAACAGAAACAAGAAATTTCCAGACAGCAAACAAACATTTTCACAACTTTAGAGTCTTTTACAGCCAAACGTTTTCGTTAACAGGCATCAGATCATTAAACAACAGGTCAATTTTGCAAACGATGGACCAAGTTTAAAGTTTGTTAGACGAGAAAGTGAAATCAAAGTTCAGGATGATGCAACAGAAGACCTCCACCCCAATCAGGGGTAATCCTGATGAGGGCAGAGCCGACAGAGGGATGAAACAGCAGCTCAGTAGGAGGAAAGAAATGTAAACAAAAGGAGGATGGACAAAGTCGGTCATTTTTCTGCACACACAAGCCATAACAGAGAGGAAGAGCTGTCTGGGGGGTGAGAGTAGAGACGACGGCCCGAGGAAGCCCAGAAAACAAAACCTTTAGCCTCTTTGTTTACGATGCATGTCAAATAATGACAATGAGCTAAAAACATTTTTTTGGTAGTGAAGATGAGGTGTCGTTTAAAAAAATATATATCTGTATGATAAACCTACAGTGGTGGGGTGGTGGGGGGTGACCCTGGGGATCAATTTGTAAAATGTGTGTATTTTTTTCAGTTGTATTTTTTTATTTTTTACGATAACTTATTTATTTTCATCGGGTATGTATTGGATAAATGTATGTACATGTTGGGTTCATCCTTCACTTCATTTGAACTGGTTTTAAAAGTAAAACATTGAAAATGGTCAAATACGCTACTGTATGTGTACATTTTGAAAACAAACTGTGCAACGATTGAACAGATTTCCATGATTCAATGATAGTAATACAAATAAAATATCATCTTGAAAATAAAGAATGAAAATAGTGATGTAAGAGAAAAAAAAATGTAAAAATTAAAGTGGTCCAGGTGGGTTTACTGATCATTTCTGCTTGATTTTTCTCTGTTCTTCACCACAAATAGTGATATTTATTTCTGATTTTTATGAGTGATAAAGCAGATTCCTCTCTGCATTCATTTAATTTTAAATTAAGCTTTTTCAGTTAAATTACACACAACTTTGGCTGCAAAGTTATTGCTAATAAAGGATTAATTTCCTCTCAACCTATAGAAAAATGGCATTTTCCATTTCTTCATACATGAAACTGACAAACCTGAATACAAAGATCTTTTATTACATGTCCGACTGAACACAACAGCAGGTTTTCTTCAGGTGTCACTTAATTTACAAACCACATAGTTTCATGTTCTTGAACCACATTTGAGGAGTCCCACATACGCAATCTGACACAAATTATAGTCTGTTCTGAATACATTCCCCTTTGCAACATTCATAAGAGTTTGGAGCTGTAAAATAAACCGTCAGTAGGTGGAGCTCTTTGTTTTTAGAAAAACACAGCAAGCCAAAGGCTGGAATTATCATCAGACACTGGAGAGACTGCTGCATGAAGACGTCTTCTATAAATACACACTGAAATACATAAAGGTATACTGGTGTCATGTTATACACACGTTAAGGAATATATTAATATCAAAGACATGCTTACATACTAATCAAAAATAACTTAGATTATGAAAAGTAGGTCATACAAAACAGTACTTCTTGATGTAAAATCTATAAAACAAATTTCCCTAAGGTCTAGTGTTGAGGTCTTGTTGTTTTGCAAAAGTCTCATCGTTGAGGGAGGGGAAATCCAGAGATGTGGGGGAAAGTGAACAAGAGCAGGGCTACTGTACACAGAAGAACATCTCAGTTTCTCTGTGCCCCCATTTTATCCTCTCCCCCGGGTCAAAACCTCCTTCTTTGTTCTGGACAGCAGCACGCAGACGCAGGACGAGTCGATTCGGATCCACTGCCATCCGATTTGGTTCCTTTCGTTTCTAATTAGTGCTCGAACAAACGACTGCTTGACCTTGCACTCGCTCCGCCACTGTTTTTTATCCACACCCAAACATCCAGCTCCGGATACGCCCGTCCCCACCGACCTCCCTGTCCCCTTAGTCCTGTCGTAGACGCTCGGCTGCTCGGCCTGACGGCAGCGGGTCTCGTAGAAGAACTGTCTGACCGGTCCAGCCTGGGTCTGGATTTCTTCCATGACTGTTACATTAATTCTATTAACGTTGATGGCGGTCTTTTTGTAGACCCAACCGCTTTCCGACTCACAGACCGCCTTTTCGCCTCTCCTGTTGTCAACCAAGTGTGAGCGTTTACTCCTTTTAACAGGTCGATCAGCCTCCCTGAAGCCCACCTTGGAGTAGTCCACCCAACTGGGAGTTGTGATTCTGTCGATGGCACGATCGCCATGACCCTCTATGTGTTCATCCAAATCTTCTTGACCCCCTCCGTCCCCATCTTCCTCCCCGCCACTCTCCAGCATGAGCAGGAGAGGTGGATGTTCCGGAGGTAATGGGGAAGGGGAAAAAAGTACTCGTGGATGCGAGTCCAGAAAGATCTCGTCTCCTTTGAGAAAGCCGTCCAGCTCAGCACCCAGATCCATTCCAGCCTCCACGGTCAGAATGTCCTCAGCTGCACTGGTTCTGGCCTCTGTCCTGGTTGACGGTGCTAGTTGAGCTCGTCTCGACGAAACTGTTGGCTCTGGTTGTCTCTGACCTTTTAGCATTGTTGCAGGACTAACAACATCGTAATATTTTGCAGTGGAAGCTTGCACAGGTGTATCTATAACGTCCTGTTGGGTGTCATCTTTGGAAAAGTCTGAAAATCTGGAGAAATCTTTCCTGCTGATCGAGCCATCGGCTTTGTAGTCCTTTTGTAGAGAATTGTCCTTGGAAATGCCCCCGGTCCTGAGAGCTCCTGCTTCTGATGCAACATCCAAACGGACTCTGCCTCGGTCATCGGTGCCTGAGTTGCCAAATGCTTGGTAGGTTATTTGACTCTCCATTTTTAATGTGGAAGTCTCTTCACGAGTGGAGAACTTTGCATAGTCCTTACGGTCGTTGAGATTCTGCGTGCGGTCTGGGTTGAGAGGAGCAGCCTCGTCCTCCATTTGAGAGACATTTCCTCTGAGGTTGTAGCGGACAGAAAGAGCAGCGAGGTGAGCGGTTGGGTCACGACGATGCTCTCTGCTGCTGCCGGAGTCAGGCGGAGTAGTTGCGGGGTTATGAGGGAAGGGCAGGGCCGAGGCTATCACCATGGCAACCAGGGGAAGCCAGTGCATCACTCCCAAGACGTATCAGCTGATGATTCAGAGAGCAGACACAGAAGAGAGACAATGTTATTTTATACAATTCAAATGGAAGCTTTTATAGTCAAACAAAGTGCTCCAGTTAGACTGTGAAATGAACAGTTTTACTGGTGGCCCACAGCTTTACAACTGTGGAGCTTTAGCTGCTGAGGCATGGCCTAAAATCTTGGCAGAACTTGTGGAAAATCAGGAGAGTACAGTGAAATTGCCCGGTTTCTTGAAGTGGACCTTACAGAATTTAGGTGATTTTGCTTTCTGGGGTAACTAATCTTCAAAGACACCGATGACAAGATATGTTTGCAAGTCAAAAATGTATCAGACAAAGGAAATTTGTCTTTGAAAAGACAGCAGTAATAAAATAAGCAACTCCCCGACGCCCTTAAGGGCTTGACTTTTTGTGTTTTGTTTAAAAGGTCAGTGCCATCATTTTGCAAGTGTGTGTATAAAACATCATCTGTCCTTACCAGGCCTTATAACCAAGTTAAATAGGTCCACAGCCAAACAGCACAAGACGTATTACAGAATATTTCAACACACACACACACACACACACACACACACGCGCACACACACACACACACACACACACACACACACACACACACACACACACACAGTGAAAGAAGAAAAAAGTAATTTGAGAGCAGGTACTTGCAGCTGATCAGATGCATAAATGAAACATTTGAGCCTCTGGAGCATGTGTGAGTGTGTTAACTCAATTCCCAGGTGGAAATAGATGAATAAAGAAACGTTTGCTGCTCATCAACTTGAAAAAAGTTATACTGGAATTTCCAAACAACATAATAGTCCATTGTCCAACAATGAGAACGGTTATTTTCAAATGGAAAACATCCAAGATATCTGCCAAACGTCTCAGGAGGGGACGTCCCAGTAAGCTCACTTCAAAGTCTAAATTACAAATCACCTGAGAGCTACAGCTGAAATAATGCAGGCCTAGTTAGCAGGTTACAGGTTTACACACACACACACACACACACACACACACACACACACACACACACACACACACACACACACACACACACACACACACACACACACACACACACACACACACACACACACACACACACACACACACACACACACACACACACACACACACACGCCAAATTTCCCCTATCCGATTCAAACCTGTTTACATGGACACCGACTGAAACGATCCGATCATGCCGTGAGTGTACTCCAAGCATTCAATCAGATTAAAAAGGTTGAGCATGTGCAGTCGTCTTTCCCGGAAAAATTATTTGTAAACGCCATCTAGTCCGCATGTTTTTTCCTCGCATTTTACTGTCTTATTTATCTAGTTTTGACTCCCCCCCCCCCCCCCCCCAGACCACTTCTAATACCCGCCATATTATCGACTTGTCCTGAGCTTGGTCTGAGCGTCTGAAGTTGCACACATGCGCAGTGGGTATTATTTTACCCCAATCTGGATGGGTGTGTACATGGACGTCAACCGGAATGATGATCGACATAACCACCTCTCTTAATCGGAATAAATTTTATTCCGATCGCCCCATATGGGATCAGAATATTCCGATTGACATGTTTACATAAAGAATTTTTGATACTTGTGCTGATGTAAAGGTAATGTTTACTTTGAAGACCAGATAACCCACATGAGTATATTTACAGTAAACCTAACTCAGCATACAAGCACAAGTATCTCCTACTGACAGCAGGGTGGTGGAGGGCTGGTCATTTGGACTTGTGCTGAACAACACCTGGGATCTTATTCGAACACGAACCCTTCTGTATGCCAATAGCTGCCTGAAAAGAAGAAATGCTGCAAAGGACAGGGAGTCAAACTCTCTCTGAAACTATTTAAAGAACTTGTGACGTCTAGCAAAAGAAGATTGCTTCAAGTTACAACTGACAAAGTAGGAATTTAGACTTTTGAACACGTTAACACTCGTGTTCTGCAGCAAACAAATTACCCACATTAAAATTTAAAGATGGCGTTCGATTTTTCCAACAACGGTAGCTCCTACATTTATTACATTTTACGTGGTATCTACCAGTAAAAGCACCCTCGTTAGATAGAGCCTTGCCATTACAGGAGATAAATGTGATGTTATTCTCTAAATGTCACCTGAGGGTGAATTTGTTGTTCTTTGGAACGGCAGTGACGGATGAATTAGACCGAATGAGTTTCAGTTATTGAGAGATCACGACTGTAAATATTCTACATGCCATAACCTGCTTTGAAGCTTTTTCTAATGGAAAAACAGGCTTTTAAGAGCTGAAAGTTCACTAAGCTAAATTATTTTGCACCGTTTCTTTAAGTCTTGAGAAGACAAGAGTTGTACAAAATGTCCAGGCGATGTTAAAAGTGCATCTCTCACGACAACCTGGAGCGTAATGATAAAATTACACTGCAATAAAAAATGTAAACATTTCCAGGCATGAAAGGGGCTTCAGGTAGGTCCTTAATCTCTGACTTTGTGTGGATAAAATTCTAAGTAGCGTGGCTGCCAGAGATGATTCATCCACATTTCAGTGAGAGGTTGCCCTCTGACTAACCAGAAAAATATTCCAGTCACCCGTCCTTGTGGCGGTTACAGTGGGCTGGCATTCAGCAAGCGCACAGCGGCCTACGCAGCCGACGTAAGCACAGATTTAGTTATTTGTTTGCAAGAAGGGAAGAGGTCACTCGGACCGAGTTGAGATCCGTGGAATGATTAGAATGTCAGTGATGCAGAACTAGTGAGGAGTAAGAGAAAGAAACAAGCTGGGCGATGCTAAATAAGTGTGAAACAGCAGTCGTCATGACTTTTTGGGTTTGTTTGTTTGCCGCTGTCACGTTTGTGTTTGCCTCCACGGGTGTGTGAGGGTGAGTGAGCAGATGTCTCATCAGTGGCTATCAGCGAGTGTGTGAATGAAAATCCCCTCGGTGACAGGGCCTGTACTCAGCAGAGCCGCACCCTGGACACAATGCAGCTGGAGAGAGGGCCAACGAGGTTCGGTCGACACATAACTCACGTGGTCGCCTCAGGAGCTCGAAGCACCTTTTCACGCTGACGGGAAATCACATCAAAGTGTTCAGCATCCTGTTTGTTCAGGGTATCCATCTAAGAACTGAGCCTGCCAAAAAAAAGTCTCGTCTAACGGAGGGAAATTTGCATATAAAGGCAAACTGCTGGCAAATTCTTCGTGACTGAGATTGCTGAGAGTTAAAGCTGAGCCGAAGCGGGAAAGGACGGAAAACACAAAACGACGTAAGAGGAGTTGCAGGATGACGCCCAGGCCGACGACAGAAAGACGGGCAGAATACAAGAAGTTGGTGTTTTTGGAAACGTGCAGCAGGAGCAGATCTTCACAGCCATGCTTCCTTTGTTACAATGACATGCATCATTTGACTGCACGGCTAAATGAGGACCAAAGCGTTCCCCCAACCTCTGATTGAGATCAAGTCAAATCAAGTCCTCTCACTTATCTAGGCCCTCATTTCCATCCAATGATATTTTTCTAAACGAGGGAAGAATGCCCTGGAATCACAGCCTAAACAAACAGAAATCATCCACGTCATCGGGCAAAAATCCACGCATAAACAGTCTAAACTACGACATTAACCAGTGATCTTATCGTTCTATTCAACACGACTAATGACTGCAGAATGATTAAATAGCTTAGATTTTTTTGTGCCTTTTATGTTCAGCAGCAGAAGTTACAACTCGCTCCTAAAGGGTCCAACTGAGCATTCCTGTTTTCAGCCTCTCGCTGTTCCACTATTAAAATCATCCGTTGTTTCATTATTCCCCTTTTTCAAAAATACTCTCTCCTTTTCATCCTAGACGGTAATTTCTTATCTTTAAAATAAACGGCATCCAGAAAATGACGTAACAGCGTGAGATGGTTGGTTGGTAAACTCAAAACATCAGAAATCTGCTCAAATACAAATAAGTCCACAGAAATATGTTTACATTCTTGGCTTGTTAGACAGCCTGGCTAACATTTATTCTGATAATCTGGGGCCAACATATTACATTTATGTATCAAAGACAACATAAAAAGTTAAACGAGTAAGTAAGTAAGTAATGAAATAAGATGTCATCTGCAACCTGGTAGATCATTAACTCATTTAGGATTACAGCCAGGATAAGGAGTCAGGAGGGGGGGGCTGAATTTGGTGCAGGCTTCCTGGCTAGTCCCCCACCAGGGAACAGATGTCATAACGCAGCTCCACACCTGGCAGCAGCTACTGTGCTAATAGCCTGTTTACAAAGCAATCCCACTCCGTATGCGTGGCTAATGTCAGGCATGTCAATACGACTGAGGGATAATGCCCTGTGTTAGTGTTAGGGCTGCGCCCCGTCCCGTCTGGATCCTGAGTCTTTGAAGTAGTTCAACCCAAACACCTCCAGGAGTGGAAGATGTCTGGAGGCGAGCTGACAGGAAGAAGTTTCCCTAAAAAGTTGTTTGCTCCCTTAAGTTACACGTTGGAGCGGTCTGTTTGGCCGTGAAACCGTGTGAGATGGAAACACATCCAGGTAAATGTTTATCCTCCACTCTGCTCCCCCTGTGTGCAAGGACAGAAAGTAAAAAGCTGAGCTCACTCACTGCGGCCTCGCTCTCCCACTGTGCAAACAGTCCATTAGTTCCAGCTCTGTGATTGTCTCACATGCAAAGCTTGAAGAAATGGTCCTAACAAACATTGATCACACACGTCTAACAGAAATATCTCCGCAAAGTGAGAAGATTTGTCTTCTTGTGATATTTTCACAGAGATAAAACCACCCACAGCGCCTCTTCTGCCCCTCATCTGTTCAAAAGATCTCATTTAGAGATCAGCTGTGTGTGTGTTTTACATGGCAGCTTGTGTGATCTACCTGCGGGTTTAGATTGTGAGCTGGTAGCTCTCACCTCACTTGAGTGACTGCCAAAGATAACAAAATGTCCAATAGCCTACTAGTGTGAGACTGCCAAGGTAAATGCAGGATGAAGAGGGAACGTAAGTGAGACAAGTGCCTGCTGGAGCACGCACGCACGCACATACACGCGCACACACACACACACACACACACACACACACACACACGATGCATAAATGTTAGTGTTTGATTGTTTGAATTTAACTAAATAATGGAATTGAAACTACAAAATAAAAGTTTCTCCACCAGTTAAAACACTCTGAGGCCATTTTCTTATTTGTCGAATGAATAAGTTTAAGTGTTTTATGCATTTCATTAGTAAAACAGTCAGGTGTGTGTGTGTGTGTGTGTGTGTGTGTGTGTGTGTGTGTGTGTGTGTGTGTGTGTGTGTGTGTGTGTGTGTGTGTGTGTGTGTGTGTGTGTAAGGCCTACCAGCATGGGTTAAAGCCATACCGTTTAGGTGAGATCCGGACCCCGCGTCCTTCCAGCTGACACCACATTGATTATAGCGTCCTGTCGCCAGTTGCTCAACTGGTTTAAATAATAAACTCAAAATCACTTTCACGCGGCTTCAAGTAACCTCAGCGCAAGCATTTCCTCTCCCTTTTAGAGGACCGTGGCATTGCATATGTCAATAGAACCTGACAAGGAAAGAAAATATAAAAAATAAAGAAGTAACACACTAGAAAACTCTCTCCTGTCCAGTCCAGTGAGCGATTTCTCTGAAGAACAAAAAAAATGTTTGATTAGAAAATAAATTGTTTTTAAATGGGGCTGAACCCAGAAATATTCCACGAGTTGGTACTGTTCCAAAGTGGGTCGAGAAAAGTGTTTGAGTTCAAAAATGTGAGCGACTGAAGCGGCGAAGGAGTTCGCTAAGTTTTATGACCTGAACTCCGCCTGAAATGCGTAAAGTAAGCTAGAATGTGTCAGCGTGACAACTTCCTGTTAGGGAGTTTCACAATAAAACTACTCTTGAAATTTCACGCTGAATGAGCTGCAATGCTTTTGTTTTAAAGTCAAGAAACTTTATTCCGGTGTTTTTTGTGCTAATTTGACGCAGCCAGCTATCCGCTTTGGAAGCGCAGAAACGAGGCGAGGTTAGTAAATAAACGAAAATGCTTACATTCTATACTATACAACATCAAACGTTAAAATTTTATGAGACCATTTGTTAAACATTGTTTTAAACAGGCATTCAAGTAGTTGTTAGTAGTAGAAATGACCAAAAAGTCACATTTCTTTGCTACACGTGCCTCTCTATTTTTATGTCTCCACCTTTGAATTCACAGAAAAACTCACAGCAATGATTGGTAAGTATCTGATATGTGTCCAAGTTACTTATGCTTGTAAACGTGTAAGTTATTACAAACAAGTTGTTAAGGAGCTGTTTGGTCTAATTCATTAAGGTTCTCATCTGCAAGTGCAAAGAGGTGCAATATGATTCCGTTTGGCACAAGCAAACCTGAGGATGTAATCTGCGGTTTGAAGCCAAGTCTGCCTCCGGATTGCTTTTTGGTTTCTTAAGTCAGACTTGCATTAGGTATGTTGATTGTAGAACGTTAAACATGTGCCTTTTTGTCATTTGCAGGCATTAGCAAACTACATAGTTTGAGATGTTCTTGAAAATTTGGAGTCCCTGAGAGGTATTTAGGCCCCCTGACCTCCAGCCCTGACACTTGTCAGCGCTGTGTCCTGGAATAATCACATGTTCAGACTACAAGACTCCAGTCATGAATGAATTATGGTCATAGATAGATAATCAAATTAGTTTAACTTCCAAATTACTGGCTGGACAAAAATAAAATCAGTTGTAGATCAAACTGTCTCATTAAAGTTGACAAGAAACATGTTGCAGCAATTAGGGTAGTAAATATGGCAGAAGTATTATATCATATGATAATCTCTAGTGAAGTTGTGATGAGACTTTTATTATGATTTGCAAAAGCTAACCTCTGGAGGCAGGTGTTGTAGATTTGCAACGTTAAAACCGACCTACCTGGTTACACCACAAACGTATTTCATGAGCATTTTATAACTCAGAAGTACCCCTGAAGGACTTAGTTGTTCGTCCTTTTATCAAAACTTGTTTTGAGCCTGAGAGGGTTAATGAAGAATTTTACTTTTTAATTTTTATTTATTTATTTATTATGGGAATTTTTTTTGGTTTGTTGCTTTTTTAATGATCTTGCAAGTCACTGAAGAAAACAATAACCATAAAATGAAAACTAAAACCAATCTAACATTCTGGAAAAGATTTTGATTAGGTTTTGCTATTTGCAATAGTGGAATGAAAAGTGAAGCAGCACAGAGGAATGGATCACCACAGCTGGCAGTCAACATGGAGTAGGTGAAGGTGAAACTTTAGAAAAAATTAGAACAAAGTTATTTTATTTCAGTAATTCAACTTAAAGAAACAGAGACTTTCCTGCTCCTCCATCCTGCTGGTTGAAAGAGAAATTTCAGCTGTCGTAAACAACCCTACAGGAATCCGATTTTAGCTAGTGCTACCAACGAGCTAAAGCTAACATCAGCTAACTAATACTAATGCACCGATATGAAAATTTGGGGCCGATACCAATATCCAACATTAATATCAATGTTACGGCCGATAACCAATATTTGCCGATATACTGACATTAATGCTTCTGCAATCAGCAGAATTTGTAAAGAATGAAAATTATTAAAGCAGAATTTACATTATTATGTACACACATCACACACATTTACACTTGAGATGATTACAATCACTGTCACATGACTAAAAAAACACACACTGATGCCAATATATTGTGCATTTCTAACTAAATTTCACCACAAAGTTAAAAGGTCCACTCTGTTGAACAAAAATGTTATTACTTAAAAGTGGGGCTGCCACAAATGACTACTGTAGTACTCGACTAATCACCAGTTGTATTGAGGATCAGTCAACTAATCGTGTAATTCATAAAAGTTTAGCTTAGGTTGCTCTAATACACCCATCATTAGCTTCTAGTCTGAAGTGTGATCAGCTATGTGCCATCTAATAATAAAGACCACATGATAGGTTATCAAACAACTTTATTTAACTTTGTAACCTGTTAATACAAATGCTACAGTCAGATGGAGGTGGGCACCTAAAACCAAAAATCAGTTGTACACAGAAATCACTTCATCTTCCAGTCTTAACTCAGGAAATGGCTGAACACACCAGGATATGCCTCTGTAACACGGCTGGTCCACATGTCAGCAGTCAGGGGACCATCGACAGCTCTGAGGGTGTGCTTTACTGTAAAGAGAAAATATATTAAATTTAATTTATTTATCAATTTAATAATTCTGTTATATCAAATAAAGTAGGCCAATATTTAACACAAAGAAAATGCAATATTCTTAGGGATGTACATAGTTAATGAGTTAATTTCCGTTAATGTTGTGACTGGGTAAAATAGTTTTGACTTCTTCAAGTCTTTCTGCTGCACTGGGGCGTAATATTCAGTACAGGCCAAACATTTCTTCTACCTCATAGGCGTGGCGCTGGAATTTAAGCTATGGCACAGTGCCACGCCTGAGCCTATGTAGAGGAAACACTACAGAGCAAAGGGTGGCAATTTTGAAGAAGATAGAATATAAAACATGTTTTCAGTTATTTCACCTTGTTTAAGTACATAACTCCACGTGTGTTTATTCATAGTTTTGATGCCTTCAGAGTATCTACAAAAGTAAATGGTCATGAAAATAAAGAAAACACATTTCTTTGTAGGCCAGACGATGCCCGCACTGCCCGCTCACCACAGCCATGAATACACCTCATCAACACGCACCAACACTGTATTGGAGCAGACGGAGGGAGACTAGGGGTCTTAGCACACCTCTGTAGTCGCTTGGCTTCCCGGGGCTGGAGGCTAGGAGGGGGATCTGGCCGTCTGGCTGGGGTCTGGGTGGTGGGTCGCTTTGCTCGGCGTTGGGCGGGGGGGCCTGCTCATCAGCACCCCAGCAGAAAGGGTCGAACTCTGGGAAACGGTGATGGTTGTACCCATTGTGCAGCAGTACCGGGACCAGAGTGAATAGGGTGTGTATGGGGAGCATGAGTGGGTGTCTGGCGTGCATTTTTGTGAGTCTTAAGCCTGATTCATGCTTCTCCATCAGCTCCGCAAGGGACAGACACGCACGGATTGATGGAAGCGCTTTGCTCTCATACTTCTCCGTCTACTGGAGTGTTGCAAAACAATTCCCCGGCAGGACAACAGAGAGCGTAGCGCTGTTCTGTGGTATCCTGTCATGTATCCGGTCCAAGATAGTGTGTTTATATTGTGTTTTTTGTATATAAGAAACTTTTTAACACAGGCAAATGTGTCTCTCATCCTCCTCCACCTCTTCATGCGCTCGCCACCTCTAAACCCACGTTTCCTGTCATTTCCGTCCACAAATAAAATGCTTGCTGCACATCTTTTCACTCCTCCAGTCACGGGGAATTAAACGTTCATGTTTTTTAGAGTTTTTTCGCGAGGTATTCTTCAAGCTGGTCCATGTCTGCCGCTAGTTATCCTCGGCTGTCTTTATGTTTTTGAGGGCGCAATGGCGGCGGTGTAGACGACAGCAGCGTCCTGACCAATCACAAGCTTGCGTTGTCTGTCTTGACTGACGGATGTTTAGAAAAGAGAGCTCGACTCCGTCCGTCCTTGCGGAGCTCTCCAGCAGGCACGCAAGGACGTTGCGTGTCTCAGCACTGACGCAGACGGAGAAGCAGGAATCAGACTTTAGGTTGTATGTGCATGTGTGAGCATGAGGGCGGGAGTGTGTGACTGTGTTTGTGGATGACTGTATATGTCAGGTGGGGCCTATGACTCCTCCTCTCACCTGGGACTTCTTTTGCTGCTACACATCTTCGCCTCCCCTCCCCCTGTCACACTTGGTGTGGAGTGGCGTGCCTTGGTCTGCCTGAGTGTTCGCAGATCTTGGGTCAGGGGGTTTAAGATTTGTAGCATCTGCCTGGTTAATCCCGGTGGCTACCTGGTGGGATCTGGGTCCCTGGGCTCTGTTGGGTCCCTGGTGGGGCTGGTTGCCCCTGGGTCCTGGGTCGCTGGGTTCCGGGCTCAGCCGGCTTGGGGGTGGGAGGCTGTGGGCTTGCTGCTGATATCCTCCGGGACTCTGTAGGCTGCTGGTTGTGGCCCCCCGGTGCAATCCTCTGCGCCTCTCGAGGGGGGCTGGGGCTTTTCTGGTCGCAGTCTCCCTGGGGTCCCTGTGGGCAGCTCCTGAATCTCTGGGACTTGGAGCTCCTTCCATCTCCTACGCATCTTTGGGGGGCAGATCTGTGGCCCCTCACACTCTCTATTGGATGCTCCTATAGAGAAACCATACATATACAAGTGCGGGTACGCACACAGGTGCTCTCATAAGTATGGACTTGGGCACGTTCATCACATGTCGGCTGTGGTTGGCACTTAATGCACTGTGATTTATTATCGTGATTGTTCAGTAAAACAATGTTGATTTTATATTTCCTCATCAGGTTGACGCAGTGATAGCTTGCTCCTGTTGTATTGCTGTGTGTCCCTTTTCTTTTTTTTCTCTCCTTCTGCAGGTCTAGAAGCAGACTCTTGTTCATTATTGATTGTTTGTGTTTATGGAGTGATTTAATGTGATGTGTGAAATGTATATCAGGCGTGACATTAAAAGCAGAAGCTTTGATGCTCCACTTGAAAGTAAATCTGTAAAGTTTGTAACCAGCATTCGGACATTAATTCTGTTTGCTTCACAGCCAGACAGGACACGGTAAAATAAATAAATAAATAAAAACACAGTGAATGAGACAGGTGTGTCCAAGCCCCCACAATGCAGGACAGAAATTGAGGCCAATGCGGAAGTAAAATAAATTGCAGTTCCACCCTC